AAAAATAAATATTTAAAATATAAAAGTTTAAAAATGAAACATTTAATAATTAAACATTTAAAAATAAACCCTTCATAAACATTTAATAAGTATTTATAATTTAAACATTTAAAATTAAACCTTTAATAAACATTAAAATTTAATAGTTTAAAATATTTAAAATATAAATTTTAAATGTTAAATAAATTTTTTAATTTTTAAATGTTAAATTTTAAATGTTTATTAAAAGATTAATTTGTAAATGTTTCATTTTTAAACGTTTAAAGTTTTTCTTCTTCCTCGTTTTAATCCCAACTATTTGGGGTCGGCCACTCTTATCCCAAACTTCCAATTGACACAATCTCCCACATCATCTACGCTCACATCAGCTGTCCTCATATCGCATTCAATAACATCTCTCCGTCTCTTTTTTGGTCTTCATCTACCTCTTCTTCCTTCAACATTCATTTCTATAACTATTCTTACAGCTTCCGATTCTTTTCTCCTCATAACATGACCAAACCATCTATTTTCTCTCATCTTATCCACGATTGACGCTACACCTATACTCCCTTTTATATGCTTGTTCCTTATCCTATCATATCTAGTCACGCTTTTCTCCATTTCAACCACCCGCACTTAATTCTGTGTCTTTTATCCTCGTCTATACCACCACTCTTTTGTATAACTGACCCTAAATACTTAAAACTCTCTACCTCTCCAATCACGTCCTCGCCTATTGTCACTGACCTCCTCATTTCATCTACCTCGTGTTCTCCTTTGTCAAATTCGTACTCTATATACTCTATCCTACTTCTACCTATTCTTAAACCATTTCTTCAAGAGCTGTTCTCCACACCTCTAGCCTTTTATTGATTTCCTCCCTGCTTTCTCCTATTAACACTATATCATCAGCAAACAACATGCACTATGGCACCTCTCCTTGTATTTCTATAGTAATTTCATCCATCACTATAGAAAATAAGTAAGGGCTGAAAGCAGAACCTTGTTGCACTCCTACTCTTACCCGAAAACCTTTTGATACTTTTCCTACGCATTTACCCTGGTACAAGTGCCATCATATTTATCTTCTATTATATTAATAGTACCGTTTCGGGATTTCTTTTCTCATTAATGCCCACTTTAAAACATCTCTCGGTAGTCTGTCATACGCTTTCTTCAAATTAATAAGTTGCCTCACACAAAATACTGGCTCCATTGTTGACTTACCAGGCATAAATCCAAACTAGTTTTTAGATACCGATGTCTCATTTCTTATTCTCTTATCTATTACCTTTTCCCAAATTTTCATACTATGACTCATAAGCTTTATGCTTCTATAATTTCCACACTCCTTTATATTTTCTTTACCTTTAAATATCGGCACCACTATACTATTCCTCCATATTCTATACTATTCTTATATTATAATACTATTCTTTCTCCAGCCTAATTCTTCCCGCAATAACCATACCCTCTATGTACTCTTTCATATTCTCTCCTCTCATTACTTATATGTCTATACATATACCCAACCCACCTATCACCACATTCTCATTGCCAGGTACCACTTGCATCATCTCATCCATCTCTCTCCAAAACTTTTCCTTATCTATTTCATCACATCCCACTTGTGGTGCATAGGCACTTATTAGATTTAACACTTTTTCTACGAATTTTACGTCCATAATTCTGTCACTTTTCCTAGCTACTTCTACTACTTTACTTTTCATCTTCTTATCCATTATTATCCCTACACCATTCTTTGTACTAGACTTACCTGAGTATATTATTTTATAACCCTCACCTATTACCCCTGATTTCTTTCCTTTCCACTTAGTTTCCTGCACACAAAAAATGTTAACTTTTCTCCTCTTCAATACTTCTACTAATTCTCTACTTCTACCAGTTAATGTTCCAACATTCCAAGTACTTATTTTTACTTTATATCTATAAAAATCGCCTCTAACGATTGGCAGAGGGGCCGTGGAATTATTCTGATCCCCTATCCACAGGGAAATAACGTTTAAATTTAAAATGTTTAATTAATTTTTAAATATTAAAGGTTTATTTTTAAATGATTAATAATGTTCAAATTTAAAATTAAAATTTTTTTAATTTTTAATGAATGTTTCAATTTAAATTGTTTAAAAGTTTAATTTTTAATCGTTTAAATCTTCCATGTTCATTAAGGGTTTAATAAATATTTAATTTTTAAACGTTTAAAATTATGTATTTAAAATTTAAACTTTTTTTAAAATGATACGATCATATTTGCATGTGCCCATATCTCTGTCTCCCATAACATCATTGTACCGTTTAATAGACATAAATATATAATTAACACAGTGACATACATCAATACTAGCAGGAGGGCCGACTGCACACATAAACACTTTTGCAATTCACGGCCTATGTGCCATAATAGGATATCCCTATCGACAGTTGATCATTTACCATCTTCGCGATCACTACTTTGTCTGATAATTAACTTAACTTGCTACCCCGTATATTATAGTGTGTGTGTGTGTCGCCGTCAGCTCCCTGTTGGATTATATCATCTTTAGGTGTCCAGCAGGTTGTATTATCTATTTAATATTTCAATTGCTTAATAAATATTTATTTATATCGTTGTTAACCTAAAGTGTTATATATATATATATTGTAGTGCGACCCTTGGTAGTTCCTCTAAGGGAATATAAATTAAATAGGAAACTTCTGTACCTAAGGTAGATATAGCCTAGCCAGCTATCCCCCGTTGGTCCCTTAGAATACTGTCGACGGGCATTTAGGCTCAACCCCTAAATAGCGACGTAACAAAAACATGTAATAATTAAACCTTTAATAAACTTCATATAAATTTATAAAATAAATGTTTCATAAAGGTACGCGTCCATAAGTACGCATTGTACGTAACGGACAAATCGTATGAAACGGATTTTAGAATTATTAATATAGTAAGTTATACATATGCGTTCCATGTCCGGCAACGGATGAATCGTACGTATCGGTCGGTCGGTAATGCCGACGAAATTTATCGAAAGGCCAACTTTTCCGAATGGTGCGGATGACGTCATACGAATGTTACTAAAAAAAGTCGACCGTCGCATCGGCAATCCGATTGCTACGGATACAGTGGACGCACTACCACAAATTGATCTGTTTCATACAGGTCGGGTTGGGTTGGGTTTGGGTTAACCCAACCCAACCTGTACGATTCTGGGCCGCCCTGAAGCATACCTCGCGGTAGTTCCAGGGCGGTCCACAATATGCCGGATGGTTTGGAAAAAAAAAACCTGTACGATTCGTCCGATACGTACGATGCGTACTTATGGACGCGTACCTTAAAAGTTTATATTTAAATGTTTGATTTAAACGTTTAAAATTTGTTAAATGTTTAAAATTTAAATACTTATTATATGTTTAATAAATGTTTAATTTTTTAAATATTTAATAAACTTATATGTTTTAATCGTTTAAATTTTAAATGTTTATTTGTAAACGTTTAAAATTACATATTTAAAATTTAAACGTTTATTAAACATTTAAAAATTAAACCTTTAATGAACATTTATTAAACGTTTAAAAAGTTGGTATTGTGAACTACTATGTTACAATCCTCTTATTTAAAATTTAATTTTCAGGAGAATAAATGTTTAATGATAATTATTTTAAAAATTGCAAGTAAATAAAAATCATTACAGTAGCCACGTAGTATAATATACAGGGGGTGGACAAAATAATATGAACACCATGCAATATAGTTACATATTGTTGCAAGTTGGCTACACTGTATAATTTTTGGATAACATGGCGTAAAATTAGTATATTATTACAATATAGTAGTTATTTATAACATATTAATGTATAACACAGGTTATACTACGAACGTTAAAATAAATTTAAAATAAAATGCGTGACCTCTCGGACTTCCAAAGAGGGCAAATAGTGGGTGCTCGATTAGCGGGAGCGTCTGTAACGGAGACATCTAAACTGTTGAACGTGTCAAGAGGGACAGTATCCACAGTAATGACAGCATACACGAAATACGGAAAAACATCATCGGCGAAAAGTAATAGTGGGCGAAATCCAAAGTTGACTGACAGACACCGACGAACATTAAAACGGATTGTGACAAGACAACATAAAACTACCGCGGCTAAAGTTACAGCAGAACTTAACGCTCATTTGGATAATACTGAATCTATTCCGCGAAGGATTGAAGCGGTTTTAAAAGCAAATGGATTTAAATGAATTAATAAGCAATATCTTATTAATAAATAAATATTGAGTATATGTCAGGTGTTCATATTATTTTGTCCACCCCTGTAGTTGGGATAAGTATAAGTGATATCTGAATGTGATTAACACATGTATAAAATAGCTTAATAATAAGCTTATTAATTTTATCCAGTACCTCTACTATAATTAAATTAAGATCAGTTTTTTCATAACAGTTTTAAAATTAATTTGTGTCGACTACTTTTGTTCACTATCAGTTTGCCCTTAACATAATATAGAATGATTCAAAAGACTCTAACTCGTTATAAGTTTCTATTACTAAACCTAAAATAATCATCCAAAGACAAATAACAACTTTGTAAAATGTATTTCTATTGCTAATAAATGTCTGATGATACACTACAACTAGTTATAAGCCCATGTATTGTACTCTCACTGACTTATATGTATTATAAAAAAAGCTTTTTGTTACGAGATTTGAACTAACTGTTATGAATAAATTATTGTTATAATCAATCAACAGACACGTTCATTAATAATTGAAATAAACTTGGTAATCTTATAATTTCAGTAGTTAATGAATTAATAACCTAAGATCAGCATGTTGAGTAATAGTAACTTATAATAGGATGAAGACTACGATCTCCTTGAGTATTAATAAAGAAAAGAATGAGAAGACGTGAGGGGCTTCACATCCTAGAATCTATAACCCTAACATAATTAACACTATAATATTCGTTTTAAGTTGAAAAATAAATTACAACAAATAAATAAGTATATTCAAAAAATTTATATTAAATCTTTAAAGCCTAGATTTTTGTAATCAGTATCAATAATTTCGTTACAAAATATATTTATATGTGAGCAAAACAATTCATAAACTGGACCATTATGCTTGTTTGACAAATTCATATCACATAGTTTTTTAATTTTTAGAGTATCTGTGTAGTTGTCTAGAAATTCACAACGAAATCTCACGCGACTACCCAATTCACTACGCAAACCTTTTTTTAATTTCTTGTGGAACTTAGATAATTGGTCAAGATATGCTGTTGCTTGTATTTCATTAATCGTTTTTGTATCAACATATGGACCAATATTTAGAGCTTTCAAATCATAAAATAATTCAGTTATAATAGTTGCTGGTATATGTAAGCAATTATGAACATTTTTGACATACTCCCAAATATATAATTTTTTTAGTATTGCCATAGCAGATAATAAGGATTCTAGCATATTAACAGACAATGATATTGAATTGCGCAGTTGGTTAACGCATTCTACAAACCTTTCCTTATATTTGTGTATATTGCCTTTTATTTCTTCAATTCTACAAAAGTTGATTATACTGTCCACTAAATATACATATTTTTTAAGTATTTCGGCATACCTACACCTCAATAATTGTACAAAATATTTTTCTTTATGATACAAGTTTTCAGAATTCACTACAGTTTGAAGTAAGTAGCTCGCGTCTAATTTTTCACTATGATCTATAACAATCTTAATATTCTTAAAGGGCTCCTTAAAATGACGTTTTGAAAATAATGTTTTTAGTGTAGCAATCCTCTGTTCTGTATTTTTAAGTATCATTGGTGGTACAAGTCTATAATAATAAAATTATTTCATTGTTAATTATATAGTAGTTTCATAAAAACTAACTTCATTATTTTTATTTTGAATATCCATTTATACTACTCAAAATAATGAAAAATGTCTGAACGATTCAAAATTTTTTCATTCTTTATATTTCGTGGACAAAAAACGATAGGTAGAAAAATAGTAGACAAAAATTGATAGAAGTGTGTGTTAAATTAATTCTAATTTCAGGTGTGTAAAATTTTACGAATAAATTTTTACTTCAAATGGAGGAATAATTTTAGTTTAACAGTTTTGATGAAATCATCGGTTAAAAAATTATATAATATATAATACTATGAAAATATACAACATCTGTTTCAATATATTCGTATTTTAATTTATTGGACGAGTATAGTGATAATTATTTATTTAAACCATTTTCCTTCATTTCTTTGTAGAATATTATGTCATAATAAAAATTGAACACTTAAAATTAAAATTAAATTAAAAATATTAATTTAAAACTAAAAAAGTATTCAACTCAAAATCTATTAAAAAATCACGGATACAAATTTTAGGAACAATATTTCCTTTATTAACACAAACTGAATCCCGACCGAAAAAAATCCTCTTATATAACCCTAGTGACCACCTTACCACTAAATAATATTATCACATTTTGTTATTTTACACAAGTTTAATAATGAATTTTTCTGTGAGGCTAGATCTTAATTAATTAACTTATACTTATTTTAAATATATCTATTGCCTTCCTTATTTTAAGTGTTTTGTAATTATTTATATTTTTAATTAGTTTTATAGTTTTAATTGAGTGATTACGTGTCAATTAATGTTCAGCCACTGGAGATTTATTATCTTATTGACTTTTATAATTTAAATTAAAGTGTTCCTTAAACCTGATCCCTATTTATTTTTTTTGTTTGTCTACGTAACATTTATTACAACCATATAGTAAACCTATTAAGTCCTATAATAATTGTTTATTGATACACATAACATTTTAAAATAAATTTAAAAAAATACATGTTTTTACAAACATTTTATAATTAAAATATTAATATTGAAGCAAAGATTATTAATGGATGTTTATATGAATATAAACAAAAAAAAAACTAGTGCGCATCAATCATGAAAATCGTAAACACATCATGTTTTAGAAACATACAATATTAGTTAGCACTTAATATTTGTAAAAATATTAAGTATTTTTTTTTTGAATTTTGGACTTATCATTAGATCAAATTACTAATATTTAAATGTACAATGCTACACCATTATCGAAATTGATTAATTAATAATCACATTTTTTATATTAGTATTTTATAATATCTAACAGTGATCAAAATCACTCGTGAAACGATTCGATGTGTATTAAATCATATCTACAAAAAAACATGGTTTCTGACTTTTTAGTTTTTGATTTTGAAGGTTGTTTACTCGTAGAGGAAAAGTCGCTAGAACACTTTTCTTTTTTCAATCATATATAACATTGAACAAGCACAAATTTGAAATAATTTATGATGATGTAAATATTATGTCACTTAGCAAAATATTACATAATCAGCTAATTTTACCAAAAATTGTATGAATTTTCGTATCTATTCATATTAACTACTAGATTTCTAAATCTAAAAGAAACAATATTGTTATATGATTTTTAAATCCACTTAATACCTTGGTAAATGAACATTATTTTAAAAAAAATATGGAAAGTAATATATCTGTATTAAATTTTAACACTATAAGTTTTATTTTGGTCCGAGCGTTAATTAAATAGTTAAAGCGATTTATCAAATATACCAACTAAAATTTTACTTGTTATTTTTTTGAACTTTTATGGTTGAGCAAAATCAGTTAAGTAAGATAGACAGTAATCACGCCTTAGACCCAAAAAATATAAATTGGCAAAGTAAAACGAATAGCTTCTCAGCTACGCATCAGAGTTAAAAATAATTATAATAACCTTAATTCACAATAATTTTAGTAATTATTAACTTTACCCAGGTATAGTTGGATTTAATAATTCTTGAAATCCAAGGTTACAATTATCATTCGCAATAACTTCATTATAAAATATTATGAGATCGTCATATATAAATTGAATATAACTTTTGTCTTTTTCTTTCTGAAGTACGTATTTCCCTTTAGATTTTTCTATTAAATATTTATCAACAAAATCACTAGTCAAATTGCTAGCTGTATCTAAAAATTGATGATTATGAAGCATATCAGATACTTTAGCTTGGAAATGTTTGATATTTAAAATATCCTTGCAAGCATCATCTGTGTCAAAATCACCACTGGATGTTATGTAAGTAAACATACATGATTTTTTTTTTGATGAAGTGTATGTATAAACAGTATGAATCTCATTGATTATAGTAATTGGAGCTACATATTCATGGAATATAAATTTTACATCCAAGTTTATGAGAAATGTCAAAATATCATACAAATTTTTAAACATACCACTTGAGTTACAAACAACATCTTGAATTAATTTTGTGCATTCAATAAATTTGTCAAATAATTTAATATTGTAATAATTTTCACATTCACTTATCATCGTCATTATATAGCGGTCATATAATTTCAATAATTTCGCATATCTACAGTTCATTGAAATAATTATGGAGCTGACAATTTCAGGCGAAAGAATAAAGTCTATGTGATTTTTATTTAATGATGTGCTTAACAATATTTTAAATTCGTCTGTCGTATTTACATCATGCCATGAAGTTATTTTCTCCTGTAGTTGGTTATGATATATAATGTGTTTTACTACTTCAACTAAATATAAGTTGAAATCAGCATAATTATGATAATGCGTTAAAACATATTTCAAAGTCCATAAAATTAAAATACTAAAATAAAATTTTAGAATCATTTTCATCTTACAACAGAAACAAATTTGGCTATAAAATCTGTAAAAGTTTAAATGACAGTATTAGTATAGTATTCACCTCATTTTAAGACAAATTTTATTTAGATAGTTAACATTTATCAATTAACACACTTACTCACCGTTATTTTTAAGTTTTATGGCTTCAATTTTTTTAACTTTATTGTATTATTAACTTTATTTTTACTCCTTCAACATTAAAATTTGTGTACTCATTTTTTCTTTACTTAACTGTGGTTATTACTAAGTCTATATTTTAACTTCACGATATATATATGATATTTCAAAAGATTTCAAAATGTATGTTCAAGGTATCAGTACCATAATCTTGAAATATTATCCTTAGTTCCTGTATTAAAGTGAAATATTCCAATAAATTACAGTTCACATACATTTTTTAATAAAATCAGTTCATTTTGATGTTATAATATAACTGTATTCAGGGGATATTCAGGGTTCAAACGTTTTACAAAATTTTAGATTCAATGCGAAGCTGAGAATGTATCTATTTTGCTATGACGTGTTTTTGTATTTTTGTCATAATTTTGTAGTTCATTATAATGTTAATCTTTTGAATTTTAAGAATTCGTTTTTTAAGAAAAATATATTTATGATTATCTATTGTTTAATAACTACACTTCTAAACCTTTATTATGTTAAACATATTTTCAATTTTACATATTTATTATAGTTTGTAATGAATAAAAAATTGTTTTTATTAGATGTTTTTTAAAACTTATTCGCCAATCCAAGTTAATTCAATTCTATTCAAGAAAATGTTGAGCTCCTGAACGATTTTAACGATTAATACGTCAAAAGAACCTATTTTAATCTTGTTTGAAAAAACCTCCTCCATTTAAAAAATTAAAAGAATGTATACAGGGTGATTTTTTTATCATAACCCACTCAATTACTTACAGAATAATAATAATTAAAAAAATTTTTTTTATTACTATCTTTAGTTACACATTATTCTTGATTTATTAACTATGTAATACTTTTTAAGATCATCCCTTATGCCTGGTAAGGGTGTCAACTTTGTTTTTTTAAATGGTAACACATATTTTGAATTTAATAAAATGTTTGAGTTTTCAATTCAATAACAAATGTCATTTGAATTTTTAATATAACTTTATTCGTTTATTAGATATAAACATTTAAAGTTTCAATTTTTTGAGTTAATATA